TATCCTTCTGACTCAGCCTCTCGGCTTATACCACTGAGCTACAGTCCCAGCTCCTTTTTACTTCTTGAGACCTGGTCTCACTGTGTTGCCCAAGTTGACCTTGAACTCACTTTGTAACCCAGACAAGCCTTGAACTTCAATCCTCCTGCTTCATCCTCCTGATTACCTGTCATTATAGGCCTGAGTCATCAGGTCCGAAGAGTCTATTGATTACAACACTACCTGGAGCCTGGGGTCAATTTTTTATCTTTATAAATCTATATAAGGTTAAGTGATGATTTAGCAGTCTACACTGCTGTAGACTTCTTAACTAAATATTAAGTAGTAATTAGCTATGAGGATTCATTTATAGTGCAAGACTTGAATAAAATATATTTTAAGCTGGGTGATGGTGGTGCACGCCTTTAATCCCAGCACTTGGGAGGTAGAGGCAGGTGATTCTCTCTGAGTTCGAGGCCAGCCTGGTCTACATAGTGAGTTCCAGGACAGGCTCCAAAGCTCCGAAGAGAAACCCTGTTTGGAAAAAAACAAAAATTTAAACTGAGTATGGTAGCATAAGCACTATAGTTGGGCTTTTGGGTTGAGACCCTCTCATACTCTCTACCCTCAAGAGTTCTGTAATTAACCCATAACAATTTTTACTGTTTTTATTTTATTTTTTAAATACCTGCAGCTAAGGCTGGTCTGGAACTTGCCTTGTAGCCCAGGCTGCCTTTGAACTAGTGATCCTTCTGTCTCAACCTGAATGCTGGGATTTACAGGTATGTATCACTATGTTCAACTAACTCATGCGTTTTTAAAACTGCTGTTACTAATATTTAACTAGTCTGTAACAGATAAGTGCTTTAGTTCTTCATACATCTGGGATTGTAGATTGAAGAAATTCAGAAGAGTGTGTGTGTGGTGATATATTATTTATGATTTATAAAAGTTTGCCTGAAGATTCAGAAAGCAAAGTCAGCCACAAACTATGGAAGCCAGGCACACACTTTTAATCCCAGGACTCAGGATTAAGAGGTAGATGGATCTCTATTAGTTCAAGGCCACACTGACTACATAAAATTGATCCAAATGCTAAGAGAAACAGCTCACACAAAGATGATCTCAGCACTTGGTATCGCGTGCCTTTAATCCTAGTGCTAGAGAGGTATAAAAGATAGGAGCAGGGTCTTCAGTAGGTTCATTCTCCAGCCACATGGAGGTCAGGAAGACACTGAAGTCTCAGGATTCTCCAGCCACTCTGAGGAGAGGTTACAGTCTGAGGTTTGGTGGAGCCAGGATCACCTTTCATTCAGAGGTACAGTAAGAGCTGTACCTGCTGCTTTGCTTTTCTGATCTTCAGCTTGAAGTTTGAACCCCAATGTCAGTCTCTGGGTCATTTATTTTTTCGTGCAACAAGGGAGGGGGAAGAAAAAGGGGGGTAAAGAGAGAACAGTTTTTTTTTCCTCTAGAGAATTCTTGAAAAGTGTAGATAAGCTTAAAAGTTATGATTCATCTATTTTTAGTTAGACATTTCAATCTCAGCCAAGCCTAATATGCTCCCTAATTATAGTGATGTATTTTCCAAATTACAAATCAAGACACATGGCCCAGCACATGTGTCTGTAATTCTGAACGTTTGGTACAGTAACACTATTTGCCTAATGGTAATAAATTATGCTTCTAGGGCACATGAAAGAAAGTGTTTCTCTTGGTAATCGAGTCCCAAAATATTTTACCTAGATTCTTGCAATTTCTGTGCCCAGCTAACTATAGAATTTAAAACGCCCGATTTCTGTGACAAATTAACGTTTACTTTAGAAAAGCAAAGACACACAACTGAGGAAAACAATGGACAAAAAATTGTATTAAAAATATTTTGCTGCAGGACGCTTTAATTTTAAATGCTTGCCATGATTTCAAAATCTAATCTCATACTGTTTTCAACTGGAAAGCCCAAACACTAAATATAAAACAGAACTGAAAGCGTTTCTGAGTAAAACTATGTTCTTAAAACGCTGCCCAAGTTTTAGGTACCTGTGCAATAAACAAGAAATGGGTCATCTGACAGGTCCCTACCCCACCCCTTTGCCCATTCCATAAACCCTCCCCTTCTCACACGCTTTCAGACTTTAGAAATATCTTTTCTCAAAGCTGTTCCTTCTAAAAGAGAAGGTGGACACCCACGCAAGCAGGTCCTAGTGCAAAAAAAAAAAAAAAAAAAAAAAAAAAAAAACCCTACATCCAGACTTTTGCATCCAAGAAAAGAGAAGTCTCTTGGCAAGCCGCGTAGACGCGGGTTTATGCCCTGGGTGGTACAGATGGTCGGCACAGTTGCGGTTTAACCTCTAGACAGAGGTTTAGAAATGCCCGCCCTGCAGTGTTAAGGGCAAGGCAGCAACACCGGGATCGGTTTTTCTTTTCTTTTTCCAGGAAGTATCATGCCCCGAGTGCCCGACAGGGAAGGGGAAGGCCAGGCCTTGGGCGTTTCATTCACCGCTTCGCTTTCTCCCCACTCCTCTCCTAGGCTCCCCCACGACTTTCTCTCCTCTTCACCCAGTCCTAGTTTGACGTCCGTCTCCTGGATACCAGACAGCCAATCGTCTGGCCTCTAACGTCCGGCGCGACCAATCAGGCATCGTTGCTACCTGTGAGTAATTATTTTTAGCCGAGGGGAACGCCCCGTTCTACTCCCGAGGTAACTCGGTTTTCTGGGCTGCAGGTTGTGGAAACGGCGCCTGCCCGTGCCCCTGGAGTCCCTTGCTTGCGTCCCCACTCCCTAGACACCCGCACACAGTTCAGAAAACTCGCGCAAGGCTCCCCAGCAAGGCACAGAGTTTATTTTGTGCGCCTGGGCGAGAGCCCTCAAAATGCACGCGAAGGCGCACACGCAGTCACACGGGCTGTTGGGCATCGTGTCGCTAGCTGGGACGTTTGATATGAGACGATTTTTTTCTTACGGTCTCAAGCCACCCCCAAGTCCAAGCTGCTGCTAGGTGACCCGGGGAGGCCTGCCCGGGGGGGGCTGCAGAGGCAGTTAAACTGCCACCTGGGCGGGAGGTGCAGCGAGGGGGCCTTCCTTCCCCGCCCCCAGGTTCTGCAGTTGTCACTCTCGGGGTGGCCGTTGGCCTAGGCCTTGCGGGGATTAATTCTCCATGAATCGGGCGCACGAGTCCGGGCCACCCGAGAGTGGGCTGGAGACCCGCAGGACAGCACGCCTAAGAGTGGGGTTTTTCTCGGCCACAGGCTGACTCGGAAGCAGCCTTTTCCGTGTTCGCTGCCCTCCCTCCTCCAGCCCCGGCCCGTCCTCG